ACCGTGCCACCCAGTCGGTGGCTCGCAACAAAATTTGGTGCTCAAAAAAAATATTTGGTGTGGTTGAGTAGGAGTAACATGTTGTGTGGGTCCTTGGACACACGAGAGTAAGTACACGCCCAATTATGTGTGGCGTTCAACTTAAAAAAGAATAGGGAGTACAACTGTTTTATCTGTCGCTCTACTGCACTCGCGTGCAGCTATAGTACTCGTGTCATCTGTGCACCCGAGACGGAACAGGACGAACATGAGGCAGCACCAACGTATGCCTCCATAGTTCATGGCCTGAAGCATCTCTCCGTAGCCTGACTGCACTGAAAAGCCGAGCAGGACGGCACGAGCTTTGCCCCCCGAGAAAAGGACGGCACGAGCACGCACCGGGCCATAAAAACACGGCCTAGTGTAGGCAGGGCAGGGGCAGGGGCAGGCCCAGGGTGGCTTTTGTTTAAATCGAATCTCCGCCGACTAGTTTCTTTTCTTTGAATCCAGAGAGCTACCCCTACGCTTCGTGGTTGGGGAATGTGTGCTTTTCCCTAACTTTAAATCCACGTTTAAATCCACGTACGCATCGCATGCAATGCAGTGCACCAGCGTATGGCCACATGTTTCTAGTTTTTACCGGGGGTGCATTCTAGGCCCGTTTGTAGAAAGATTGCAGGCATAGGTTGGATTGCAAATACATATTACTACGTTTTTTTAACACAATACAGTTGCAGACAGTCATACATATACACATATGTTTATCTCTATGAATGCTATGAGCACATTCGAGAGACTAACCTAACACTTTATTTTGAGATTGACGAAGCCACCGCTACCACCTCTATAGTTGATGGGAACATCCTCCCACTGAACAAACATCGTCGAAAATTTTAAAATAAATTCAAAAAAATACGAGCATCACTGAAGAAAGCAGCAACCAATAGGACTATTTTAATCCTCCCTTCTTGATCGTGAAATTCTTTTTCATCAAATGGGAGGATAGCAGGTTTGAAAAAGGATCTTAGAGTGTCTAAGGTTTGGCCAGGAGGGTCTCTTAACGTCTTTCTTTTTTGCTCATCGAAGTTATTTCTCAAATAAACAAGGACACTTAAAAAAATCCGTGAGCAGACAGATTCACATCTTTTACAACCCACACAATCTTCGGTTCTCGACGCGGAAGCAATTTGCTAAGTTCCAGAAGATGCTACTGGTAAGCACGAAGATTGGTTACGAAGAAATAACAAGAAAGAAAATCATATTCTGATACCTAAGAGTTATAAAGGAATCAAAATAGTCTCTCTTTAAAAAAAAGAAATGGATTTCATTGGATGTAAGTATAAGATTTAAACTCTGATGGACGTTCAGCCACAAAGAACCCAACCATCTGAGCTAGGCTTCATTTGGCTAATTATACACATTAGATTTATGGTTCACAAAGAACCCAACCATCTGCACCACAATCTAATTGTCAAAAAAAGTCACACCAAAATTTATAGTTCTACATGTTACTGTGGTGTCCGATTCTCGACCCGCGTCCCTGGTACGCTGTCCTTATGTCGGCAGTAGGATATGCATAGTTGCGAGAGTATCAAATCTTAGCCTGGTCATCTAGCATGTCATACTTACTGACATAAAGCCCGAAAACTAAATGATGAAAAGCATGTCGACACCTGCTGACTGAGACGTGAAAGCTGTGGCAAAGTGAACATCAGATTTGCTTTGATCCTACTTGATTCAGATTTTTTTTAAGTTACTTGTAGGATCGTTTTGTGTGATTTATAAGATTTAGTCCCACAAAAATATTCTGGAGGAATATTTTCACTGTGTTCATTTTTTCTGTGGTGAGTTTAAACATTCGATTATCTAAGATTCACGTAGCCACGGCACTAGACAAGTATCGCACAAGACCTAGACCCTACCAAACGAAACGAAGGCTCTCTCGTGCTGCAACCCTTGACGCCGCCATCAGCCCCTCTCTCGCGCTCCTCTCCCTCGCCGTCGCTGGAGGTCGCTGATGGGCAAGGCCCGTGCAGTGAAGGCGGCAACGGGGCCTCTCTCCCGGGGTGGTCTGCAGCGGTGAGGAGACCGACGGTTAAGTGGCGCTCGTCGTGTAGAGGGTCGGCGATTAGGGGTGAGTCGACTCTATGGCTTGCAGGAGGCGACTCGAACAGTTATGGCGTTGGTCGGCTTCCGGACAGGCGGCGGCGAAGGATGGATCCCGTGCATCGGTGCATGTGGCGGCTCGTTCCTCTGGCGCGGTGGTGCGGCCTCCTGCCCTAACGAAGGTGGTCGGTTGTTGTGGCAGCCACTGCCTGTGATGACGGATCTGGGACTCCCCAGACCTGGCTTGCAATGGGTGGTGGTCGGTGGCTTTGGTCGATGGTAGCGGCGGTGAGACATCGACTATCTGTGTTGTGCGGCAATTCATAATTCGCAGGCAGGACCTAAATTCTGTGTGATGTCCATGCCTAGGTCCACACGTCGGTGACTCTCTCCGGGCCCGTTTGCCATGGAATAGTTTGGATTTCACGTCCTCTCATTCTCAAGAAAAAGCTGATCCCTGTGTCCCTGTGACCAACAGGCCCAAATACGCCCTATGATTCACGCGCATGCGCCAGGACAGAGCAGTATGAAGAAAATAAGAGACAAACACCCATATCACTGAACCCGTTCACGATCATATCCTTGTATACACAGCGAATGATACTGACACATGAGATAGGAGTCGGCAGAGTTCCGCCAAATTATACAGTCCCCGTAAATATACAAATCCAACTCCACAGCTGTCCCAAAATAAAACCACCCCGAAACCAATGACAGTTCTTGTTCAACCCGCCAGCACACAGCCTCAATGAAAACTGAAATGGAGCAGCAGCAAGGATAACAAAAAAAAGGGCTCAACCCACAATACCTGGAAATAAACCGACGCATGCAGGGTCTTGCACAACGGCAAGCCGTCGAAGTTTTGACCACCAGGAACCCTTACAAAACAGTCCAATAGTGGATGCAGGACAATGCAAGTATGAAAAAGGAAACATGAAATAAACAAGCTACGTACTCTCGAAAAAGAAATAAACAAGCTACCAACTTGGACCTCCTGAGCAGTGCAAAATTATCCCGTGACAGTGCACGCGAGCCCCTTATGCATAACGGATCCATAAGCAACCGGGACTTGTAACCATACGACCAAAGTTTGATGCATGCAATGGATGCAAGGGAAAGCGATAGCAGACCCAGACCGTAGGGCATGCAAGCCACACCAACGAACCATCGGCATGGCACCCAACCATACAAGCTCATCTCACCCCCAATAAGAAATTGAAGGTTCCAGATGCCTTTAGCAAAGTTAGCAGGCAGCCAACTTAACCCTCTTTTCCACACAAGTGAAAAAGGCTGGACTGACACATGTACTGATGCATGAGTTAGTGAGGACCCTTCGACACTCCTGTTAGGATGGTGGACTTCCCCAAAGATACGATGCAACCTGCAACCGAAGACCCAGACTCGACACATGGATGGATGCATGTGCAGACTCGACACCAATGCCACATCAACCTGAAACTGCACGGCTGATTGCAATCCTTGCCCAGTCAGCTGATTCTTTGACCAGAGGATCATCGGATGATAAGCACTCATCCAAAAATTCCTTGCTTGAGGTCGATTGATTGATCAAGGGACCAGCATGAACACCCAATGTGTCTGCCAGATCTCCCAAGACACCTATTGCAGTTTTCATCACAGAATCATCCCTGAAACAGTAAGAGATCATTTTAGAAAATTATCGTGCTTAACTATGAGTCGCACTAAGCTGAAATATTGGTCAATTGTTGCAATAACACTTCACTGTCCGTGTTCATGGCCGCTAAAAAAAGAGTGGGGTTGACTGGCCAGGAGGCTTAAGGGGGAGACATTCGATTCTGGCAATAGTGTAAGGTGTGCGTAGGTGTGTGGACACACTATCATTATTGGGTGTGGTCTTTTCCATCATAGTGGCAATTCAAGTGCAAACAACATACATTCCATAGAACAACAAAAGTGACCAAACTTAGTGCACAGTAAGAAATCGCAAATTAGAATCTAACGCCTATTAGTAAATGCAATCTAAAGTAGCAGATCATAATCAGAAGTTCGCCAACACAAAAATTTGCAAGGCTTAGCTCTTAATTACTAAATCACCTCAAAGGCATCCAGAAAAAAATTGTTAGAACAGGCCTGTAACGGACTATATGGCTATAACACTCTATTTTGCACTGTAACGGACTAACGGTATACCCTCATTTTGGGAGAAAATTGCTTATGTATCATTGCAAGAACTCCTATTTTCATCATATGCCTATGATAAACACTATTCATTCTATCTGATTCGTCTCTTCGTTATTTTTCTTCACTCGTTGGCTAGGTGTTAGTGAGTTTTGCCCTGGTTTAGCAGTGTTGCTGATGCATGCATGTGTTGCTTAGGCGGCGCTGCTGCTACCATGGGTATTTTACAGAGAAGCAGCCTTACATTGCAGGCAGTGGCGGATCTACAGGGTGGGCCGCGGCCCACCCTGGGATTTGGTCGACCCATATATATATACATAGCCCATAAGAGATAAGTGGATGGGCCGGAAGAAAATAATAGAAAAGCCCAGCCAACACAGCGTCGACTCGTCGCACAGCCTCCCGTCCCCAATTCCCCTCGCGATTGCTCTACGCTCCCGCCCATCTCGCCGCCATGACTTGCCGCCTGGTTCCGTGCCTCGCCGGCGACTCTGTCCGCCCCACACCTGGCCGGCGCGACCGCACCCAGCCGAAAGCCCGCAGCCGCCCGGTCCGCACTCGGCAGTCGCCGCTCAGCAGCCGGCGTTCTGCAGCGGCAGCAAGTCTGCAGCCAGCCGCCCAGCAATTCTTGAGGTACCTTTGGTGAGATTTCTGCCCATCGCCCAGCAATTCAAGTCGTGCTGCTACCTGATAGAACAGCTCATTACGAGCTTAGGCTTGTTGTGCTCCTTTGTAAATTGTAATTTAGTACTGTGCTGAATTCTGTCCAGGAATGTTACTACTTACTGCTGAACAGTTTCAGTTTGGGTCAGATTTCTAATCTATGTGGCATCTTGAGCTGTAATTTCCAGGAATTTTATTAATTACTACCGAATTGTTTCAGTTTGGGTCAAACAATTAATAAATTGTTCTCATTTTTTTGAATCAGTGCATGCCATTGTCACATTGAAGAACAAAATGTGAACCACCATCACAGGATTACATACATGTATCAGATGTGGAAGAATGAACACATTCAGATAGTCTTCTTTGAACTTTTCAAGGTACATAGGCTTTTCTTATGCAAAAGTAAGACTTATCTGAGAAAAAAATTGATTAATTTATATTTTGCTATTGGTAAATTAGTTACTACATTGGCATGCCATATTTGTTGTAAATTTTTTTTATTAGGTTGGACCACCCTGCTTCAAAATCCTAGATCTGCCACTGATTGCAGGTACCCATGCAGGAACACCTAGCCAGAAAAGGCATATCCATGTTGACTCATGGCCAGTTAGGCAATTAAGTGAAAGGGTTGACACGATAACAGAAGCACACCAACAGCCCACTAATGGCGGTAGCAATTCATGAAGTTTCGGAATTGAGTAGTGCAGAATGAATCGGGAATCTTTTAGCGGCATATGACAAAACTTAATAGTTATTCAGTACTCCTTCCCTAAGATATAACTTAAATTTAACCAAGTTTATATGGAAAAAAATCAACATCTATATTACCAAATTATATATAACTGATATTTTGGAAGGAGGGAATAGCATATAAGAAATTACATGTTTCCAGAAACTAGCTTGATTGAGTTAAAATTGCCATAATTATCAATTTTCCAGTACTTTGGCCCTTTTATATTTTTTAAGCAGCTTAGGCATTTGCCTGCCATACAGGAAAAATGTCTAATTATTGTTATCTATATGTGTTTGCATGACCAGTTTCCAGCTTTGAGCATCCGGAAAGCAGGAAATATTCATGTAAATAAGTGAGAAATTAAGGAAACAGAAAGTATTCTAGACGACTTACATATCCTTGCCATTATGAAGAGCGTCAAGGAACTGAAGAATATGTGGGGCATACGGCATCAGTAACTGCATCTTAGGGGAACCCTTGAATCCTTGAAGAATGCCAGAGTAGGCCTCCAAGATGCCATTCCTTAATTGATTGGTGTAGTCGAGCATTTCCTCATCAGCTGCAGTTGCATGCGCCGACAAATCTGCTGCACTTTGTAGCATGGGCATCGCATAGATCAAATACTTCTCAAAGTTCTCCCCAATTGCCAGTGCAATATCACCAAAGCACGAGAATATAGGTGGTTTTACAGATCTGTGTAACTGATTGCTGGAAAGATCTTTCAGGAGCTGGGTCATGATGCCGTCACAGTAGGGTAAAATTTTGTCCTCCAGTGCCCTGCACAGGTCACCCACAACACCCACTGTAATAGCACATACCTGATACTCTTCAAAGTTCTGAAGTCCCATTTCCAAGTACTGGTAGAATTGCGCCATGTACTTTGCGAAGTTTGAACCGGCTGCATATGCCAATGCACCAATAGCAAGCATAGCCTCCTCATGCACCGTGGCATTTCGACAAGCAAAAACTCTCAAAAATAGATCCATCATCTGATCCGCATACTGCAAGAAGGCAAACTTTGTTGACTCCATCCCTCCCAACTTCTGGATAATGACCTGCAAGCAACCACAGAGAAGGCCCTGCAGATCGCTCCGCTTCTCCCTCTCGTCAGTTGACAACTTTCCTGCTTCAAGTGTCTGATGGAGTTCCATCATAATCACTGGTATCAGCTGCAAAACAATAGGAGCTGTCTCCTCGGTAGAGCACCTGACAACTTCATTTAGAGTTTCATAAGCTGCGGTACGCAGCCTGGATTCTCCAGCATCTTCTCTGTGACTGGTCACAATAAGGCTCTGAATAATATCTTGGAAGAAAGGGGCTAATGGTGACGCCGATCCAGCATCCACATAGCCTTGTGCAAGGAAATAGAGTGCCCCACATGCCTTTTCTGCCACATTTGGGACATCCTTCATGCTTTGAAGTAGCACAGTAAGTATTTGCTGGCAGTTCTCAGCTGTAATAACAGGAGCAGTTTCAAGCGCAGAACCATGAAGAAACTCAAATATTCTTCCGAGGGTCCAAGCAGTGGTGTCCTTCACATGGTTATTTGGGTCCTTCAACAGCGCAGACAACATAAAATTCAAGGCTACGTTAACTAGAGGGGCCAGTTTATCAGCTGATGGACCCTCCAGAATGGATCCAAAAGCATATGTTGCAGCCTCTCTTTGCCTCCATTCAGGTTTCGTTATGTTCTCCTCAACAAAAGGCATCACAAGAGGAACAACGTCATCACCAACAGTCCTCGCCACCAGGCCCAAACAAGTACCACCAGCCATTGCAAGGTTCCAAGCACCTTCATCCAAGTCTTGGTCTTCCTCCTGCTTCAGGAGAGTCTCCAGCAGCATTGGCACTAAAGCAGGAAGAGCTTGCTTGATAAAATAGTAGCAAGGAACATCAGAATCAGCTGTAAACTCACTACTGTAGTCGTCCAAAATGTCGATTTCCTCATCGCATATGGAGCTCCAAAATTCAATGGCCTGAAGTGCAACTGACTCCTCATCTCCTCTCACGGCCTTTGCAGTAATATTAAATATGTCCTGCATGTATGTGGCCAGCTTATCGTAATAAGTTGATGAAATAGCCACCAAACACTCAAAGGCAGCCTGTCTTATCTTCACCTCTGGTGACTGTGTTGCTTCGCATACGACTCTCATGATATAATCACGCTCCATGTCATTGGAGAAGTTAACCTGAGCAAAGCCCAATGCATTATACAATGCCCGTGTGGCTGCAAGTCTCACTTCAGAGTTCCCTTCAGAAGCATTCATACCTTGAACAACAGCTGTAAGTATCTTGTTGACTTGGTCTTGATCAACAGCTTCTGGAGAAACTTCCTCACATAAATAGCCAAGTGTCTCGAGCGTCGCCTGCTTGACATTAGGCTGGACCTGATGTATGTTTGAGAGCAATGATCCTATAAGCTCAGGCCATTGCTTCTGAGGGATCTCAATGCCAGCAATCTTTGCGATGACTTGAGAAGATGTAGATCTGGCACTTGCAACAGGAGATGAGAGAGTTTGCAGCAGCAACGCTTTAATTTGTGCCTTGACACCAGCATCCAGTGCCAGCCATCTCTGGAAAAGTTCACTCTTCCTGTGCTGCTCCTTTGCATCCAGTGCATTCTTAAGGATCAAACCAGCCAACCTGCGGCTCTCTTCAGGTTTCTCGTTATTGGCCAACTCACTTGAGAGGGAGAGCAAGAAACCTGGGAGGTTTTGCTCCTGAAACTGCTTGAGGCTTTCTTCAGCATGCTTCCTAATCGAGCCATCAGCAGATTGCGCACTCAAGAGTATTTGAGTAACATCCAACGACATGTTGACTGTGTAAAACCAAAATAGAGGAATCAGATATACTTCATGACATAAGAACTCCATGCATCATCAAAGAGATACAGCTCTTCTCAGATGTAAATTACACAAGACACAGTAGACCTGTTTTATGTAAAACCAAACAATACACTAAAATCTTATAAAATGGTAATGAGACACACGGTCCACATACAAGGAAATCATTAATCTTTCAATTTCATCTCAACAAAAAAATATCAGCTATAAAGAATCTGTCCTTGGCATCATAATTTACAGGTGAAAACAGAGACGAATTAGCACCATATAAATTGATTCTTACGAGCAAACAGAAGATTAAACAACATTTAATCAAGAAACTATCAACTACAATGAGTTATGATTACATAGAATTTTGTAGCACAAGTTTCTTAAATGAGGCAATCATTAATTGCACGGAATTTTGTAAAAGTTAAATTGCATGAATACATCCGCATAAGTAACCAACTACACAGAGGAAAGACAACCTTATAAGCAAGAAAATAATCGGTGAACATCAACCCCAAAATCTAAACAGCTGTATAAAATCTGACGTGGACATAATGCCATTGCCATATTACTTCTTAGCTCAAGGAGGATACAAATATCTGGGGAGCAACCTCATTTTAAATGGAACGGGTCCTTGAGTAACACCTAAAGCCTCTGCTGACAAGAACTTTATTATACACCAGTTCCCTGAGAGTACTATTTACTTCTACCGTTGAAGTAGCCATTTACTCCTGTGTATGTAGACCGCTTATGCATAGTACGTGGATATTGCAAGCTACGGCGAGAAATATACACCATTCAACCATGAATACTCCACCAAAATATAGCAAAAAGAGAACCGAATCTAGGGTTACAAATTCAACATGTGTGCCAAATCCACCTTAACACACAGCAAACTACAACAGATCTGCCTGGTAGTTCGGCGACAACAGAAGAACAGAACACGGATAGAGATGTGGAGAGAGGCGGTGAGCTTCTGCGTCCTACCTTCTAGCGCCCTACTGAGAAGGGGAGATAGTCGGCGACGAGGGGCGGGGTGAGGCTGGCCGGCGCGGGGGACCTCAGACGGCGACGGTTGCGTGAAGGAGTTGTGGTGTTAGCTCGCCGAATCGGATACGGAGGCAGCTCGTCGGTTGGGCGGATTCCACGACGAGGGAGGCGGCCGTGGCGGCGGAGAGGGAGGCGACGGCGGCGGCGGAGAGGAAATCAAATAATGTGGGGAAAATAAAGGAAAAGGGTATCTTTGGTTGATGAGCTGGGAGATGCGAGGGCGGTCGTGAGGGGCAGCCCGCAGCCGTAGGATCTTTGATGGACGGTATTGATGGAAACAGTTTGATTATGTCTGTATTTCGGTTTCGGAAGAAACTTTGCAAAATTATGCGTTTCAGAGGACAGAGAAGGGATGAGATTTAGAGACCAGAATTGAATGCAAAAAAAAATAGAGACCAGAATTGAATGCAAAAAAAATAGAGACCAGAATTGCTTTTCATAAGGCTATGCTAGGGAAACAAATTTAGGCCTCCTTTGGTTCAATGGTAGAAAAATTATAGGAATATAAAAGTCATAGAAAATGAGATGACATGCATCTCAAATCCTATGGCCTCATTTGGTTTGTAGGAACTTTGCAGGAATTCCATAGGATAGGATTTGCAAAGGAAAAATTCTTTTGAAGCCTTTTGGTTTGTAGGAATGGATTTCTATTCCTATGTAGGATAGGAGTCAGTCTTTCACATTTTGAGGGAAAAAATTAGCCTAGACTCAATGGAAAAATCTTTATACCATGCACCAAATGACATCTCTTTCTATATAGGAATTGAGATGCATGTCATCTCACTTCCTATGATTTTTCTATACCTATCAAATTCCTATCCTATGAACCAAAGGAGGCCTATGAGTAGGAATAGGAAAGGAGATATCCTTTGTTTCACATCATAGGATTTTTTTCATTGAGGCCTTCTTTGGTTCATAGGACTGGAAAATCATAGGAATAGGAAAGTCATAGGAAATGAGATGACATGCATGTCAAATGCTATGCATAGGAATAGAAAAGGAGATGCCCTTTGATTCACACCATAGGATTTTTTTCCATTGAGTCTAGGCTAATGTTTATTTTTCTATAAAATGTGGAGGATAGGAAGAATTCCTCCATAGGAATAGGATTTCATTCCTACAAACCAAAGCGCTCTGAAGGAATTTTTCCTATAGAAATCCTATCCTATGAAAATCCTACAAAATTCCTCCAAACCAAAGGAGGCCTGAGTCTGGGCTAATGTTTATTTTTTTATATGAAATGTGGAGGATATGAAGATTTCCTCCATAGGAATAGGATTGCATTCCTACAGACCAAATAGCTCCATAGGAATTTTTTCTATAAAAATCCCACCCTATGAAATTCCTACAAAATTCCTCAAAATCAAAAGAAGCCTTAGGCCTCCTTTGGTTCATAGGATAGAAATGTTGTAGGAATAGGAAAATCATAGGAAGTGAGATGACATGCATCTCAATTCCTATAGAGAAAGAGATGTCATTTGATGCATAGGATAGGAATTTTTCCATTGAGTCTTAGCTAATGTTTTTTTCCTCTAAAATGTGAAGGATTGATTCCTATCATATATATAGGAATATGAATCCATTCCTACAAACCAAAGGGTCTCAAAGGAAATTTTTCTATGCAAATCCTATCCTATAGAAATCCTATGACATTCATACAAACCAAAGGAGGCCTTAGAGGCTGATCTTAGAGCCGGAAAGTTTATGTGCTAGAGTGTTGAGGAGTATAACAACTTTCTGGATGGATTCATATTAAATACTAAGCTAAGACTTGGCTCGTCATTTACTTGGCAAAGTGTAATGATAGGGTTGCATACGTTTAACAAGAGGGGAATCTAGCGAGTGGGAGATGGGCGACAAATTGATGTATGGAAAGATGCATTGATCTTGTTAGTTCAATTTCTAAAAGATAGATGTGAACCGTAAGGCCAGTGAATTAATTGGCCCAATCACAATGAGTAGGAACGTTGATATTGTTAGATCAATCTGGGAGATAGATGTGCAATAGATTGTGCCTATCCTGCTCAATCAAAACGGCGCGACGGACTCCATAGGCTAGAGGGTAATTAAATATGTGTATTTTTCTGTTAGTTTCATGTATCACATGGAGTGGGAGCCTTGGTTTGGGAGCTCCTTATAGCGAGTCAATGGTTCTAGATCATCAACTATAAGCTTGGTATGGAAAGAGTTGTAGAGATGTTCTCTGCCAGCAAAGTTGCATGGAAGTGTGTGCATGTAATTCTACCATGTTATGTAGTGTTGGTTAATCGTCATATCAGAAATAATAGCATGTGGCGTGCGTGTAATATACATGGATATAAAGAACATGCTATTCCTTTATGAGGGAGCTAAGGAGCTATGGAGAAAAGTATATATGTATGAAGTTATACAAGAAGCATGTGCGGTAGATATATCGGGAGTGTTGTGCTGGACTTTTTGGCTGCTCACAAATTTGCAAGGCAGGTAGAAGCACCAATTGCATACTGTTGGTGTACTAAGATTTGGGTCCTTAGTACCCCCAGACTTATGCACATGCAGTAGCAACCTTCCCGATGGCTAGGCTTGCCGAAGGACAACTAAAAACAAATTCAAGACCATATTACCAAGATACGAAGAAGACGTCCAGTCAGGTGATCGAAAAGTACTACAGGAGAGTACAGAAGATCAAGGTTGAAGTTGCCGGCAAGACCCTTGCTAGCAAACTAGAGAAGACTCGGCAAGGTCCGAATGCGGTAATAATCTCACTACCTTGCCACCGCTCCACCTCATCGACCAGGTTGTCACTTGTCGTATAGGTGTCGAGCAGGCAGGTAATTAGGTGAGGCTTGTCTGGGCACTTGTCAGCTCACCGCCGAAGACACAACTTTAATGACACCCATCTCAGGATCATGTTAAGATGATAAGAGGTAGATGGGTGAACGACACAGCAGGAGAGGCACTCTTGCCAGCGAGCTTCATCAACATGACACCTCACGACGCAATTAATGTGTTTGTCCTAACCCGCCAGAGTTAGGTATTTCGCACTGTAGCCACTATTCACCTCTTATAATTACTTTTTTGCCACTGCGGTGACCCCTTAGCCTATAAAAGGAGGCCCATGGCTACCTTTACAAAGGTCAACACTTTGCACAAACACGCACATAGCTGCACTTCCCGTGCAACCTTGCCGGAATTGCGCTCCCTTGTACTTGTGCTCACACATTCAATACACCAAAGTAGGAGTAGGGTTTTACGCTTCACAATGGCCTAAACTTGGGTAAAAGTTGTGTGTTCTTGCTAGTTATGCTCTTTGTGCTTACCGATCTCCCTAGTCAAACCACAAAAGGGATCTTTGCTGGTCCCATAGATCATCGTATGCACGACATCTTTGGTGCGCCAGGCAGGGGGTCGCTTGCGCGAACCTGAACTAGTAGTTAGCGCGTCAGCTTCTTCATCATCTTCATCACCACGGTTCCCAAGAAGAAGGGTGCCATGGCGGTTGGTCCGTCTACGTCCAAGCCACCAGCGCCTTCGCATATAGGCGACGACACAGACTGCAGCACAGGCAGCGGCGGAGGAGGCGGAGACCAGGAGCAGCTTCCGCGATGTTCTGCAGATCACAACCAGGTGAGCGGCGTCATCCGCAACGAGAACAACAATCCACATGCCACCAGGTCCAATGATGGGGTCGTGCTGCCTATAGACGGCACGGTGAACTCCAAGGACAGCAGGTTGATAACCCACAAGTATAGGGGATCGCACCAGTGTAGAGTATTCAACCCAAATTTATAGATTCGACACAAGGGAGCCAAAGAATATTTGCAAGTATTAGCAGCTGAGTTGTCAATTCAACCACACATGGAGATTAATCTGCAGCAACGTGATCAGTAGCAAAGTAATACGATAGTTTTGATAATAGTACTAGGAGCAATAGTAACGGTAATAGTGATAGC